ATTCCCTTCTGTGAGTCTTTTTTCTCCGGCATTAGGCACTGGAGCGGGTCACCAGCAGATAACACAGATTGACGAATCAGCAGATATAACAGTTTTGCAGGTACACTTGGAAACCGTTTGGATTGCACACATGTTAAACAAATTTAGGTCGACTGAATCACGATATACAATCGTATCCTCCCTGCGTTTCGGTGTCGGATCGATATTACTGAAATTAGCCTATAGTATACAGGTTAGTTGATTTGCATTCTGTCCACGGAACAGTAATCCAGACAGCAACACAAACAAAAAACTCACCACTTGGAAGACTTGTAGCTGACCTGCATTATTGTGTCTTGGAAGTGTGTTTTCAGAAACAACCGGACGTCCGTTTTGTAACCAACGAATGCGGACCTGAGGCCTTCCACGGGCCACACAGCGTAGCTTGATTGGTGACGAGGGCCGACTGGACAGGTCATACGTTTTCAGAATTTTCGGCCTTTCGGTAATTTTCACTGGACCTGAGGTTCATGAACAGTTAGCGGAGGTCGGTAAATTTGACTGTACTACTTGGGGCGTTCAACAAAGACTTAACATTTGGGACAAATCAACCTCCCTTCGGGAGGAAGGAAATTTTTAATCATAGCTAAAAAACTAGGTGGGGGTGTGTTACCGTCTGTCTAAATGATAAACAACATTACAACAAAATGGTCTGGCAATTCACTCCTTCTTCGTTTTTGCTTGTTTGAATTCTGGATTCATTGTGGCACTACCCAATCAGAGGCTCTCAAAATCTGTGAGTAGTTAAGGCTCTCCGAAAATTTGGAGTTGGTTACATCTTAACCACTGTAGCATACCGACCGTTTTAGAAAAAAACATCTTCAGTTTGTTAATCCAGCAGGGAGACATCCAACTGCATAAGACTGCCGCAGTGACGATGGGTTAGTTTCAGTTCTGTAGGAGAACCACGTGATCTTGGGGTTGATAGTTCACTCTCAACAAAACGGTAGGGTAATTTTTCTGCTCTCCAACACCTCTTCTCTGCTGTTGCCAAATTCAACCACCTCTAGTAGTTAGATGGCGAACTGTCGAGGGTAACACACTAGAATTCTTTCTTAGACTCAGGTTTGAAGTGTGAAACAGACAAAGTATGTGAAAAGTTCAATCTACGAATTGTAAGGGCATTGCCAAACGAAACACCTGAATTAACGGAGTGTTTACTTGTGTTTACTTGATTTACTTGTAGCCAATCAAATGACAACATAGTGCACAACAAAAGCGTTATGAATGCCTGGGCTATCCTTTTCATCGAACCAGATGGTAGTTGTGTACCAAATGGAGGTGATACACGAGAATCTCACTACAATGTTCATTTTTCAACTTAAATTTTTTGAAATACAGGTTTCAGGAGAGTCACATATCTACTTGTTTTAAACAAATTCTGTAAAAAAAGTGGTTCATACATTCGCCATCATCTAGAGACGTGTTACAGCGCGAATATTTACTCAACTGGAAAAAAAACCCATCGACGTCCCGCTAGCCCAGTCGGTATAAAAAAATCCAAAGTTCTTTGATCCCGAACTTGATATGAAGACCGCACTGGAAGGGGAACGTGGAACCAGCAGCATAGGTAGCTGCTCATTGTTTTACCAGACGAGGAGGCTGGGAGATTTTAGTTAAAAATCTGTTGACAGAATGACACCACCGGGTGGTTGTTTTGTTCGTGAGCCTTGTTCTGGTTTTTCACCTTTTTATGCCGGACAAAATGTGTGTCCATTGCAGGATTATATTGCAAAATAGTCGGATGGTATTCCATCTACTGGTGTAACGATGGATAATACTGACGAACGATGCAAGTAGTATATGGTTAGTGGCCAAACTCCACCCCGCATCTGATGGAATGTGAAATGTATTGTAGAAATTACGAAACCGCTTTGTGGCGTTCGTTTAGTTTTGTGTAAAAGACAATGAATAGCTAGGAAAGTTCAAGAGGACGCGTGAGGATGTTTACTTTTTAAAGACTGTTTGCAAATGAGATAGATACTTCCCCATCCAGTGGTTTTTAGCTGGTTAGTTCGTTTTAGTTGATAAATGACTTCGAGGTGAAGGGTCTTCCTACATTCGTTTGAGTGCCATGATCAAGATACGGATAGAGATCCCGTGGCGACAGCCTTTTGAGGATGGCTGGTTGGTTCGTGTTTGTTGATAAATGTCTTCGAGGCGAAGGGAATTTCTTCTTCCACTAGGAATCAATTTTTGGGAAATATACTTGGTTTTTTAACAAGTTGTGTGTTATGGAGGCCTTTAGTTGTTCACAAATTTTGGACAGCTGTCCGCTGCCTATTGCTATTCATGCTTGTTACGCGATGTGCACTATTTGGTGAAGACCACAGTGGTGTTCAGCCAGCTCCAGAAAGCCGATGTACGTAAAATGTGTCCAAAATGGCATACGTGCAAATTACCCAAGATAACAATGTCGACGAAGGGACTTAGTGATTCTCCCAGTCCATTGGATGCCAAACAGGTATACACTCCTTCGTGCTGTAGTTGAGCAGATCTGATAACCAGACGTTTCCGATTTTTCCCCACTGAAATGCGCTCATCACCGTCAACCACTTCGCGAGCCTCCGACAGATTCTGGCATATCCGAGGACGCCACATCCAACGGAGATCAGGAGCGGGTATCCCAGGATCTACAGTGGGAACGGAGAGCACAGCAGGTCCAAAAATACAGATACCATATTGCCTTGGCCTTACAAATTTCATCTATTCAGTTAAGGACTGTTCCGCTTTGGATATTAATAAGCGATATTTCAAGGTTTTTATCCTTTGGGCTGCCATCGTTTTCAGTACGTGTTCAAGGCTAAAATGAAGCTGGAAATGATGGCTATCCGTGGATGTTCACTTTGAAGTTGTTTCACCAGATTGACCAGTTCTGGACCCATCTGTGGCTTGCCTGTGAAGAATCAAAACCAGTTTGTGGTGATCCTGGTGACGTACTCTTAAGGCTGATCCGGAATTCTGTTTGACTGACAGAGTGTTTACCAATCTATAGCTAACGGAACGAATCTTCCCGATAACGTGTAACACAGTATTACTGACCAAATTCCGTGTGAGTTGACTTAGGGCGTGAGTGAAGAACTAATGCGAACGCTTACTGCAGAAAGTCTGCAATACTGTGCGCAAAGCAAATTGCTGTGGCATCCGTGAATTAATGGCAGATCAGGTGGAAACATCAAATGGGACTGACTAGTGTGCAAACACCTTGAAGGCACGTCTTATGAAGTGTGAATTATGACACAATCTCCTGCTAAAAAACAGATGAACAAGCCAAGCAGCCTAGATGGTTTCTCAAGTGTGTGTCACGCTACCTGACTCGGGAGTCCTGACTGGCGGGTGAATCGATCGTCACAACCAGGACAGTGATTGGACCGTCGTTCGATGAGTCGGCCACACCAATCACTTCGCTCAAGTATGAACACGTTCGCCTGTTCAGACGTGATAATTCAGATGCGTCCAACGTGCGTTGGTGGAGTAGGGGTTGGACGCTCGTCTCGCATATCAGATGTCCGGGGTTCAAGTCCCGGCACGACCATTGGATATGCACTGCTGATGAGCTCTGATAGGAGCGAACCTCGAGACCAGTGCTTCCCCCATTCGGTGTGGACTCAACCAGTGCGTCCTCCGCTTGGTGTGGACTCATCGGAATAATCACGCCAGAACAGGAACACGACTTTCCAAACGAGAGTCGTGTGACTATGAACGAAATACTTATCCCGCAAAACTCAGTGATTTTGATCACTGAGGGTTTCTGTTTTGATGACCCAGCTTCGAAGTTTTGTATTGTTATCGCCGAAACGCTTCTTGAAATGCCGTTTGTTCTGGTATTCCGATGACAAAAACGTTAAACGTGCGGTCTCTTATTGTAGGCCATAAAGTATTTCGTGGAGAAGGGTTTGGAAACCGAAGGTCGATTCAGTTCTTCTTTTTGGCACTCCAGACAGGCGGAATCTCGAGGTGTCTGTCTATCTGACTCTATGGTTGAGCGTTCAGAAAAAATCGTTCAGCTGTAGCACCCTTTCGGTTCCTAACCGCCATACCACCCGAAGGTTGCACGAGGGCTGGGATACTGTCAGGTTTTCCAAGCCTAGACGGGTCGGGTTCGAACCACGAACCTTCTGGTCAGTAAATTCGCGCTCTAACCACTTGGACATCTCGCCCCCTAAGGTTGAGCTCTGTAAAGGAATCCAGTAACAAGGAATTCCGCTGACATCCATTCGAATCTCCTAATAAAAGCTATGTGGCAAATGTGTGAGTGCATTCTGCGAGTGACTTGGAATTTGCATTAAAGTAGAAGATAAAGTCGACTAAATCCTGAAGACTGCACCTATTTGGTGGGCTCTAAAATGGTCGGAACTGGTCAAAGTCTGTCGAACTTCATTGGGCATAGTGTTTCTTGGGGGCAAGATGGTCCAAGTGGTTAGAGCGCGAATTCACTGACCAGAGGTCCGCGGCTCGAACCCGACCTCTGCCTCTCGACTTGGGCAACCTGGCAGTATCCCAGCCCTCGTACTTCCTTCGGGTGGCATGGCAGCTAGGCACAGAAAGGGCGTTACAGCTGAACGACAGTGTTTCTTAATGCCAATATAGTGCGACATCTCGAATATCGTAAAAAAATAAAACCTGATGCAATTTTTTTCAACGCATTCACCTGGAGTTCATTTTTGCCTCCCATTAAAGGCAAATCATGAGACAAGTTACAAGGGCAGTCTGCTGAAATATGATTGGTTATTCAACGGTTTTCTAGAATTTGGAATATATCCTCTTCAAAAGTATCATGGTACCACTGTTAAGGCATGCGGATAAACTGCTTTTTAAGATGAACAGTTCCAAGCTTACATTTCTGGTTCAACTGGCAGTCTAGCTCTATTTGAGCTCCGAGATAAACAAGTCGAGCGTTTGAACCACTAATTGTTGGCATGCCAGGTGGATCTAAAATAAGAAAAAATGCGAATGATATACGTAGAGCCGTACAGTCCCGGAAAACTCATAGGAACAGTTTGCACTATTGTTTACCTCAACTTACAGTACACCTGGACAACAGTGCTTCTCTGGGCACAGCGCTTGCTTACGAAACCGGAACTTGTTTTGATCTGATTACGGGCAATACAACGATACACACCAGCGTCCTCGTGTTGAACCGTATTGAATTGTAGTACGGAGCTAAACCAGTAGTTTGCGGATGATGATCGAATCACCTCTGATTCGTTCAAACATTGTGTTTCATCAACTGGTGAGAAGAGCCGGGATGCTGACAACAATGTTGTATCTGAGATGGTTTTATCGCGAACCCAGAAAACCCGATCGGCTGGGGGATGTGACTTCACTTCACACTGCACCCGAAGGGACTGTCCGAGGCGAGCATAAACCACTTTATTCGTGTGTACTTCTGGAGCAGCTAGAAAAACGAACGCAATGACAAACGGGGGTGAAAATGTATAGAACAAAAAGGGTTGATAAAAACGTTGATCAGTCAAATGGATGGTAGGCTAAATTGATTGTCAAAAGTGTTGAAAAGCGCAACGTGTAAATCCATCAATTGAGTGCATCCTCAAATTGTAATCGAGCTTCTCTCATTGCTTACAAGAGAGGGACGTTTATTGATGACACCTGATGCAACGTTGCAGCACTTACCAGTCGGAGTTTTCCTAACTTTTCTCTCAGATATTAATGTGAATTGTACAGACTCAAATATACCTCAAGCAATGGATCATCTAAACGGACTGAACAAAATTTTTATCGAACAGAGACCAACCGAAAAAATCTCTTATGGGAAAAACAGAGAAAGGATATTAGGTCGATATTTCTCTATCCGACTTAATTCGGTGAGTCTATTGCCGTCTATTGGTTACGCCTGCACTGAGCCTGCCAGACTAAGCGATGGGGAAAAGACAGAGAACTTGGGACACGGCCGTATTGCCAGGACAAAACATACAGAGCGTGTGCGTTAGTATATGGGATGACTAAATGGCCAAATATGGTCGTTCACTTGTTGTTCGGTCGAGAACACTTTCAGGCCCACTAAGCTGGTCGTGTGTTGCTAAGCCGTGTTTGGCGAGAGCCGCCAACTCACCTACTTTCCGGACGTGTCGTACCGATGGTGACCTTGAGGATGCGTCACTCTGCACATGTGCTTTTTTCTTGTCTGGGCGTGTTCTAACACTTCCGTATATCACAATTACCCGAACCGGAGGTTTACTTAGAGCACCAAAGGACCAACAGCCATCGACGTTTTCTGTAGAGACAGGCTCATTTAATAATATTAACTCTCCCACGCAATTGCCACAATATCTTCATTCATGAGACTCATTAGTCAGTTTAAGTAAGTGACTATTTTTGGTTTCAAACGGCAGAAACACGCACCAATATTGTAGGCACTTGCTTAAAAATTTTCCGCAAGCACCTCAAAGAAAAGAAACTTCCGAGAAGCTTCCCTTGGCAATTTTCTTATTGAATAGTTGGTGTAATTGGTTAACTTCCTTGAAAATGATCTGCATCGCTGACCTTATCCTCACTAATCGGGCAAGACCTGTATTTACACTTGGGTCAGTGGCTGTCAGGAACTTTTCGTTCATTCGATCAAAAGCGTCTAAGTAGCAGTTGGCCAACTTGAGGTCAGACATAGTGTACGGATACCAACACGGAATACAAAACGAAGAATTTTTTTATACCTTCCGTTATGCATGCCTTAACATCTTCACCCACGGTGTTAGCTCGACCGAATTTCCGAATCGGAGGTAGAAAATGCTCGATGTTATGGAGCTAACCGGATATCCATTTTATGTCGGCGTGATAATTTCCCGAGAGAGGCAAAGCAAAAGTTTGCCAAACAACACATTTCGGAAATCAAAAGAAATTTTCCTTCTTGTCTGCTTAAAGGTGCCCCGTGTGAGGTGAAATTTCGACATTTCGGTAAAGTTGCTTGCAGTTACAGGGACTGACATTATGACCACAAAACCTTTGTTATTGTTCGTGATGTACTACTCATAAGGTTGCTGAAAATCCGTCGACAGCCCATGACCGATTTCGTAGCGAATATGCTCATCGGGTAGGTGCAATCCCCAGGTGTCCGTTCTACTTGAAACCAAATTGGACGAAATTAGCGAATATGGACTCATCAGCAAACTAATTTGATTCTTTCGAGAGATTCGCTTGGAACCCAGCTGAATCTCTCGTTTATGATGTTCTCAGGCAACTGAATGTGCTGCACCAGGCCGCCTCATGTTTCNGGGCATTCCGGATGTTAGTGAGCGGCACCCGATGCGGTGTATCGTATGATTGTTTTAAGGCAGACGTTCTAAGTTGCTCAGGTCTAGACAGAGTGGTCCGAATCTTCAGTCACAGATCTCGATTCGAATGTTTGAAAGAAAAGCGACAGTTCGTGATGCACTACTCATAAGGTTGCTGAAAATTCGTCGACGGTCCACGACCGGTTTCGCCCTTCTTGGGGCTCAACAGGTAGGTCTGGAAACATCACAAACAAGAGATTTAGGTGGGTTCCAGGTGAGTCCCTCGCAAAACCAAATGAGTAGTACATGTATCGCGATATCTCGAACATCGTGGCGACCGAAACATGAGGCGGCCTGGTGCAGCACATTCAGCTGCCTGAGAACATCACAAACGAGAGATTCAGCTGGGTTCCGAGTGAGTCTGTCGAAAAACCAAATTAGTTTGCAAATGAGTGTATATTCGAAACTTCGTTACTGCTGTTTGAGGGTTAAGATTTCCCACTGGAATTTCATGAATTACGGGTATAAAAATGGTGCGATTATGCAACGTCTGCCACGTAACCGGTCCATTTTCAAACGACTGCATTTGTTCAAATCCAACTGGAAACGACCACTGTACGGTTTGCAAAAGGTTGACTTCTTTTCATGTACATGTAAAGTACTTTGGAACACAAAAGTTGGTTGGGATTTGATGGACCCCGTGAAAAATGTAAAGAATTATGACTTGGAAAGACGGCAGTGACTGCCTTGAACGTATGTCCCACACTTACAGTACAAAATATAGCTCGAACAGACAGCACGCCCGTTCATCTCATTGGATTCTTACGGCTGCAGAACAGGTTGAACCTTCGTTGCTCTTTTAGTTTTCCTCAAAGTGGGGTTTCAATGAGAGTTCCGTTCCCTCTATAACCGCAAGATTTTTCAGACCTCTAAAATCTAGCGGCTATAATGAATTTGACTGCACTACATTGCTCGAAAATATACTTGGACCGGATGAATGTTTTATTTGTGGAACATTTCGAGGTTAGGAAAAGAAGATCAATGCCTACATTTCAGAGCACTCTGTGTGCGAATGAGTCGATCACG